CCGGAGATGCAGCAGCCCCTGGGTCTGCCCTCAGCTCATCTTTCCTTTTGTTAACCGATTCCCAATATGCTCATAGCAATGCTTTGGTTAAAATAAACCAGTGATTTAATTCTTGGTTTAACTTCTAACTTAGTCCAGCAAAGTTTTCGGTATTACAAGGACATACAAGTCTTATTAAGCAGAGCAAAGTAAGCTTTAGCCTTAACGTTAGTCTAGCCACAGTGAGTTACCATATAAAGGCATAATTCTTAAATGTACTCGGCTCTTCCACTTGATTCATGTTTCAGCACAGTATCACACCATAGACTCAGCAAACATAGATCATTTTAAATGGACAGCTATGTACAAAACTATGGTACAATGTTATTACAAAACTTGAGAAATAAAAGCTCTGAATTTTGAAAACACAATACTGCACATTCCCAGTTTTAAAGCCAAAGTTAACATCAATTTACGTGTTCTGCAGCTTGAACACAAATGTTTGAGTGCAAGCAGCCGACGATGGTCATCAAACCCAGAGATTTACTAAAGGATGAGCTGAAAAATACATCTGATAGAGCACTCTCAATAAAACTCTTTCTGTTGCTTTAATAAGAGGAATTGGGGCCGTGGTTACCCAAAAGTTGACGGATGCATGTGTGAGCGGACTACTGCAAGACTACTGATGTGCTTCAACTTAATTGCACATAAGTATCATGTAGGAACCAGACACTGTTTATATGGCCATATGCTTACTAAAATACATACTTTTTGTAAAAAACCCACAAACCTGTTTTCCCTGTAACTGATTTCCCTTGCTTTAAATGACTGAGAGTAAAATACATTTTTCTGATCTGGGTCTTGGACTAGTCCGATGTAAACCATCAGTGGGCGATGAGAAGAGGGAGTTAACATGCATCCACCTGTGATGGTACAGCCGCTGCTTAATTTATACCCTTTATTTAGTTGAGGCACTGCTATTTTTATAAATTCTCTGGGGGATAAATACTCTGGTCCTTTCTTGGGCCACGCTTAGCTGTCGTTTTAAGAGGAGTTTGACCTAAGAGCATGTTGAAAGACTCGGCTTCCAGGACAGCAGACAAGAGGTCTGACCCTTTCACACCTCCATGTGCAGAACTGGCCCCCGGCCCCACGGGTGCCCGCCGTAAGGCCTGGGCTGAGGGGCATGAAGTCTCCAGGGAGGCTCCTTGGGTCTTGGGGAGGGGAGTGAAAGGCTGCGCGAGGAGAAGCGATGTGTCCTTGCTGGGGCAAAGGTGACCAGGGTGACATTTCGGCGATGCAGAACCCTGTTTCTGAGAAGCCGGCAGCGCTCTGGGGATGGGTGAGCAGTTTCCTGGGTCCCTCTTATTTCTTCTGCCTTGCCATGACACCTGCAGGAGGAGGGGAAAATACAAATTATTTGCAGATATAAAACGAAAGTGTGTTTTTGCACGTGTGTGTATCTAATAGTTAGGGTACTACTAGGGAAACCAGTTTCAGATAACCTAAAACTAGGCAGAGCTTAATCTTTATGCACTTAATTAAAACCCTCATATTTCCAGAACTGATCTTGATGTTCAAAGGTTTGAGCAACTCTGCTTTTAAGCTGGGTGCTAGTTCAGTCCAACAATGAGTCTAATGTTTTCCAAGCAGAATACTGCTTCTAGATATTAAATTGCTGAACTTAATCAGTCTAGAGGATTTAGCAGGACTGTCAGAAGGATGGGGTGGCACGCTGTCATTTTTAAGAGCCTGTCTTACTCCATAACCAAAGCAAATACCATTTCTAATGTCAGACATGAGGGCAAAGGCCATATAGGAAGATCACAGAATCACAGAATGGCCTAAGCTGGAAGGGACCTTAGAGATCATTTTAATCCAGCCTCCCTGCCGCCAGGGACGCCACCTCTCGACTAGATCAGGCAACACGTGGGGACCGAACGGGAATCGAACCTGTGACCTTAGCGTTGTTAGTGCCATGCTCAACTGACTGAGCTAACCCTTAGATGAACATTAGCTTGATTACATTCTTGTGGTCTATTAAAAAATGCCCACAGACAATACCAAGTCTGCAGAAGGGGAAGTGAAGTATCTGTTCCTCTAGAATTAAAGGAAAACAATTTAAAAAAAAAAAAAAGAGAAGGAAAACCTTGACTCTCAAATCCTGCTCTTTGCAGGGGGAGCCTGATGTCCCACTGTGCCATGTGCATGTGGCAGTGCTGTCCCTGCCTCCTGCCCCTTCCCTCCCTCCTCACTAGGCTGTGGTCTCCGAGCACCGGCCTATGCTCCCAGGTTGGTTTGTTCTTTAATTTTCTAGGGAATAAATCAAGTAGATCTGTGAGCAGGGAAACTGCCAAAGCCTGATTGCTTATGGACTTGGGCTTCCAAGACTTTTGTTTCCACTAAGCTTTCCAACTGACATAAAGATGGGCGGGGAGGGAAGAGCAAGCTGCACAAACAGATGTGAACATTTGTCTGTAGCAACTCTCTACAGGCTAAGGCAAGGGAACTCCAAAAGCACCTCCCCCAAGTTCAGGCATTTGTACAATACCTCCTCTGTTTGACTGTTAGGTTTTGTTAAATGGTCTTTCTTCAAGCTCTTTTCAGATTTGGTTGGAAATGAGTTCAGATTTTACCCGGACATGAGTTCAGATTTTACCCGGACACACACAAACACAGTGTGACCACCAGTGCCCTGATTCCACGGAAAACCAGCTGAATCATTTCCTTCAGGAATATGGAGATAATATGGGATACCACTCTTAGCTTGGGTGTAAAAGCTGACATTTAAAGAACATGAACACTACTGCAGAAATTGCTGCATTAACAAAATATAATCAAGGTGAGGCAAGAGCTCAGTAGCTGATTACAACAGTCTTTAGTGCTCTGAAATGTTATTTCATAGAGTCACAGGCTGTCCCTGTCATTACTCTGCTACTCTTACAGAAGTTCTAAAAACTGATAAGGGGATGTAGTCTTGATCCCTGCAGCTGGATCTGCACAAGAAGGGAGAAGATTCTTGCAGCTTCACTGATACTCAGCAACTTCCACATCCAGAAAATCCACCAGAGAGAGAAAAATCCTGTACCAAAAGAGATGTGGTGCCGTGACCTGAACAGACCATGTGTGCTTGAGGAAAAAAAACAAACAGAAAGAGGTTGAACATCCCAGGAAAAAATATTGATGGGGAACACTCAAGTCTTGCCGAGTCAGTCATATCAAGACGGATGGACTTGAGCTGCATTTAGGTGAGGAAGCACCATGGCTGGACACTAAGAGGAGCAAACTGATTTTTCCTTCCTCTAACCTTTGCAAGTGACATCAAGACGGGAGCAGAGGAAAAAGGGAATTGCTGGTTTCAAGGTGCAGCTTGTCTCTGCCCTCCTGGCACGGAAGCACAGGCGGGCGCTGCCGGCGCAATGTGGTCGTGCCGGGCGCTGCCTTTCAAGGATGCGCTGAAACTCCTGCCTGTCACGCTCACTGCATAAAGGTACTGTTTGTCCATGCATCCCTCTGTAGTGCTTTCCTATGTCTTGTAAGGGGAATTCAGAGCTGTCTATGTCTCTATTTCTTTTGAAATATTACTTTTCTTAAGCCTGCATGCTGGAATCTCTATGTTTAGAACACATCATCCAAGTTACACTTAACTCACGGTTTCAGCCGTCCTTCCTGCGCAGCACGGCCGCTGGTCCTAACATATTGCTTACCTGTGCCTCACTGCTACTATTTTCTGCTCTTGCTGCAAACCTTCCTTAGGATTTTTAAACCAACAGAGCTACTTCCCTTTTCAACTTGATGTAGTCCTGTGCTACAGCACAGAAAGGTCCAAGAGAAAGGCCAGAGTAGTCAGGACTGCAACTACTCAATTTATATCTCATTTTCTCTCGCTAACAATGGTGCTTCAGGTGCAGGAACCAAAGTAACCCTGTGTGAAAATCCCACAGTAATTTCTCTGTTCCACCATCCTAGGGACTGGGGCTGCTGGGCTGTGTGGGAGCAGGGCTCAGGGCCAGGCTGCCAGTTCCGGGCACTGGCGGTGCTGGAGAATAAACACATTCCTTATAGGAAACGAGACAGACAGAAATTTGACATTATTGATTTAGTTCATAAGAGATGCTCATCAGCATGGAAAGGACAATGCGTAACTATGCAATTTCAGTACAGCGAGTGTTTTGATTGTTTCTTTTTCCTGCTTTTTTTTCCTCTTGTTAGAAAAACAGGCAAGTTTTGCAAATATATGTCTCGTCCTGAAACTCCTTAACTTTTCTCTTGAGGGGCAACCGTAAGTTGCCAGTATCAGTGAAGGATGTGGAGAACTTGGTACACAATTTCACTAGAAATTTGGTTTACCTGTATTATGGGTTTTTTTGTGACAAAAGCCAAATGACCTACCCCCCCACCCCAGAAAGCTGCATGAATGCACATAAGAAATGTATGTATGGTCTGTTTGTTCCAATGGACCAGTTTGTGTGCAAGTCTGGAACTGAATTTGACTTTGAGTTGGAGCTGGTATCTTGCCCCATCTAGTACTTTTTGCCGAGTCCAGTGTTTTATTCCCTTTTTCAGATACCATATTTAAACACTATTATAGGAAGTGGCTACCTGCAAGCTAAGCAAACACTGTTCTTTGCAGGAGGTAGGTACTGAAATTGCATGTTTACAGTTTTTGAGAAAATAATTGGATCAAAGCAAGGACTTCGTAGATCACATGAAGCTGGATTCACTTGGTTAGAGTGATGACTTTTAAATATCTGCAGGGAAAAGTGGCTTGGCTGCTGCTGACACAGAGAACAGACATGTGGGCTGTGACCCTGTGTTGAGGGGAGATCAGTACTGACTCCACTCAATGCAAGATCAACACCCTGGAGAATAAAAATCAGAGTAACAAATTTTTACATGTATTTGTGATTAAACACAAAGACAAAAAGCTTAGCTGATATGCCGAATACTGATTAGGTCTGTGAAGTCTCAGTGCTGTGGTTAGTTCACATAGAAACACCTTTGTGAATTTACATACCTCCTCATTGTACCACACAACCTTTTTTTGTTTTATTATCTCCAGTATCAGTCTCAATCTCTGCTTTTAAACAAAAGAGAGACACTAAATATAGATGATCATGGCAAGGCAAATGTAACAACAAGGAAACTTTTAGAGTGACAACACTGTCCAGTAGCAGAGAATTTCCTAAGATGCTGTCCCTGGATGTCCAGGGAGCCGCGAGGCTTTTGGGCAGGGTCAGTTCTTTAAGCTAGAAATAATAATTTAGATGTCAGGAAAGCATGGGCACAGCACGGAGTGTGGGGTGCTCCTGTTGCTGCAGCTCCTCCTGTTGCCTCCTGGGAAGCAAGTTCAGGAACCACTGCTCTGGGAAACCACTTCTGATTTGTGGCTTGTTTTTTAACTAGGGGGAAGTGGCATGTTTAGAAACATAAATAACTACAGCCCCAGGGCATGCTGGCGTTTTTAGGGTAAGTCCCTCTGTGGTAGGTGCTCAACTCATGCCATCTTTCTCAGCAGTGGTTTATTCAAACCCTCCTTTCCTTTCTCCTCCATCTTCCTTGGAAGGAAAAACATTAAACATTGATAAAAAGAGGCTTCCACCACTTTCCCTGTCCATCTCTTTGACCTCAGGATCTTGCAGAAAATAGGCTTTGGATGGTAAATTGCACCTTTCTAAAAGGCTGACAGACCCATGTGCCTTCCCTATGAGGCACCTCTAATTTGGGCTTAAAGTACCCACCCAAGGGCAGCTTCAGCTCGGTAGAGTCTGAGGGACTTGGATGCGCTTCCCAGGTTTAGGAGCAGCTCTGGATGTCCACCATGAGGTGGAGACCCGGGTAGCTCCGTGCCTCCGGCAGCTGAGCTCTCTCCAGCAGCGTAGTCCCCCATGGGGGACGAATTCAGATGGTCAAATGCTATCCTCGACAGAAGCATCAGCAAGCCACTATTTTTTAATTGCTGATAGCCTGATGTTCAAGAGCAACCCAAAGTACCCCTGGGGTAGGCTGTCAAGTTACTGCAGGCAAAGTACTCTTGCAACCTGGCTTAGGAGAAGAAAAAACAAACATCCCCACAGCAGCGCTGATGTGTTTAGAAGTGGTTGAGAGGGGGGCGATTGCTGATTAAGTACCCAGTATTAACTGCTCTTATGGAGTCTAATGGAGCTCCTGTTTGCACATAACTGTGCCTTGTAACTGTTTTGAGCACACTTGACAGATGTGCTTATTGCCATCTTTACTGCCTATGTGTTAATGGGCTTTTTAATTATTGATTCATCATTACCTCTTTATAAACTACTTACACGCATCGAGAGAATGAACTATGCTTGTGTTTTTCTTTTTAAATCTCTTTCAGGTTTTAAAAAATAACAGCTCCACAAAACAGCATGGCTCTAGGGACAGGAGGCATTGGTCCTCAAAGTTAGGTGGAACAGGTATGACAAAACCTCCCTAGTTTAACTCAGTCCCTGAGGGCTATATATGAAATAGGCTACCTGAGTAGCTTTTGCTGTGCCTCTTCTTCTTCCTCCGTTTCCCAGACGGCCTCTGCTTTTCTCTGTCAGTGTGAGTTTGCCCTGGGGTGAGTGTTGCTGAACAAGAGGAGTCAGTGGCTGGCTCCTCTGAGAAGGACTTCTCTTGAGAGGTGTCCAACAGCGAGTCTGCACCTGGGTCTTCATTTTCCTTTGCCGTGTCTTTCAACTCTGCCTGATGAGCCTCATCACAGGGAGCAGACTGAGCGCTGCCAGGGTCGACCCCAGCCTCTCTAAGCTGGATTTCTGACTCCTGTGCCAACCTATAGCTCTCTGAGCCTTCAGCTGGGCACTCCTTGTCCTTGCCGTCTGAGGTGGACCCATTGACTTGGTCTCTCAGAGCAATGCCTGAACTGCTGCTTGCAAACCTTATCCCTGTGCCTATGTTAGCAGCAGAGAAGGCAACGGAGCCGCTCTTTGCGTTTGGCTGGAGGCTTGCCCAGCTGTCTGCCTGCTCCATCCCGGTGGCTGACACAGGCTGACCGATCCCATCAACTTCCACCAAGCTTACTGAGGGGCATTCCATTTGGGACTCTGGTGGCAAATTTCCTCCAGCGTTGTTTTTATATAATGCCTGGTTTGAAGCTGAGGCATTTGCAACATCTCCACCCGTCTCCATCCGGGCAGTGGTTGAGGGGGCAGTGCTTTCTGAGGGATGACCATCGCTGTTTTGCTTGGTCTTATCATCAATCTGCTTTCCCACTGCTTGTGGATCCGTAGTGATCTTTCCTTTAAACAGAAAACATGCAGTCAGACACAGATGCAGAGTTGCACCACATTTCAAGCTAGCAGCTGCCTGTAGAGGGCGCACTGACCCTAAAGCAGATACGCAGAGGCAGCACCATTTTATCCTCACTGTACCTCCCCTCCTTACACCCCATGTGGTCACCCCACGTGGTCACCCCACTTGGACTCCAGGATTCCAGCTTAGCAAAGCCCCTGCTCTGTTTTCAGCAGGTGTTGATGAATCTTTACTGCCAACCAGTTGATTTCTGTGTAAGGCCCTGGACTTGCAAGTGTCCCTGAAAGCCTATGGCTGGAAGAGGGAACCAACCTACAAGGTCCCGAACCAGGTGGGACTGCTGGCTTGGCTGCATGAGGACCTCAAGACTGCCCATCAGCCAGCCTGACCCTGCCCTTGCAGAGCAGATGTAGGAGAGTCACAGTGCACAAGCCAGGTCAATGCCTTTGGACCTATCTAAAATGCAGTAACACCAAGTTCAAGAGACCAGATTAAAAATAAACCCATGGGCCGTCTCCTAAAAAGCACCTAAAGGACTTGGGTTCTTCTGCAAATAGGGGTTTCTAATCTTTTTTTAAGGGCTTTTTATGACAAGCTGTGCCACTGAGATGCCATAACAGGGAGGGGTCTCATGTGCGGATGACACCAGTGCCCCACCAGCATGGTTCTCTGGCTGACCTATGGGCTGTGCCTCTCAAGAGGGTTTATCAGCACGGGTGCAAGCCATGCTCCTCCATATTGTTGCTAATTCTGGGAAAGACTTGGTTGGCAACCGCTCAGGGCTCTCTGCTCCTCTCCTTCACAGTGCTGGTTGCAAAGCCTCCTTAAAAAAAAGAATGCCGCAAATGTGAAAACGAAGGCTTCTTGCTTGGCTCGGGCTCAGAGGCAGATGGGAATGAATAGCTGCAGGTACAGTCGGGTCTGTGTCCTTACCAGACAGGCTCTCCTCCGGACTCTCCTCTGGCAAGGTTTTAGGAACTGAATCCAACTCATGTCTGTTCTTTGTCTTTCTCAGTGTGAACCCCTTCCTTATGTCTGCTAGCAGCGCGTCAATGACACACACCTCCTCCTGCTTCACCAGCCCCTTCTTAACTGGGGGGGAGAGAGAGAGAGACGGGTGTTAAACCTGCCCATAGGATGGGGCAGAAGGAGACTTTGCAGCTATGCTATTGCCTGGGGTGGGTACTGCTGCCCCCGTACAAGCAAACATGGGGCAAAACCAAGACTCTGATGATGCGAAGCTTGGGAGTAGCCCCTGCTCTGTGCCCCCACAGCAGCATGTCCTGGTTGAAAGCCAAAGATTTACCCCAAAGCCTGGGTGCTACAGGCTGGTACCAGCAGCACCAGCTCTGCCCAGGCTTGTGCCTCGTTGTAGCATGACCTTTAAATGCCTCCTGTTTGCTGCCTATGTCGCTGGGGAGCTTTTTTGGGGGGTGGAGGGGTGGGGATGGAGGGAAAATAATCTTGATTCTTCTTTCCTCTCAGCCTCTTCCAAGTGTACTTTTCAGTTGCACCTGAAAAGTCCTCATCCAGAGAAACATAGATTGAAAGTATCTGCAAGATTTTGGGGATGTCAGTAGTTTGTGGTAAAAAAAGACTATTCAAGTGTACATAGGGATTCCAGAGCAGGGAGAAGTCAAATGTTTCTTGTTAGATTTGGGATTCAGAAGTTATGTTTAGAAACTGAAAAAATTAACTGAAATGATCCAATTTATTTTTTTTTCTCTCTGCTGTTCAGTCAGCAAACCTAAAATTAACTTCTCTGCCCAGCTGCAACTCTGAAGAGTCAATTCTTAGCTAAGGCTGTAAGACACCTAAAAGCGTTAGTCAGCCAGCACCTGGAAGCCCTTAAAATAAATTACCACTACTAGTCCATTAAAGCAGGATTAGCAAAGAGCTCCTGTTGGTTCCATCTATCTCTTGTGAAGGCCTTTCAGATACTCACTGACTTTTCCATTCTCTCCCTTCTGTCTCTTCCCCTCTTCCTCTTCCAGCTGTTTCTTCCTCTTCTCCGCTTTGGCAGCTTGCTCCTTTCTGTCCTTGTTTTCCTGCAGTGAGGTAACAGGGGCGTGAGAAAGTTGGCCAAATGTCTGCTAGAAAAGCTGATGAAGAGAAGGAAGATCTGCACATGGTTGCAAAGGAGGAAGAGAAATCCAGCCCTTATCCTGTGCAATAAATAAAATGGGCATGGGGAATAAGAGCTATCTTGCCAAGAGGGTGAGAGGAAAACTGCTGGTGCATCTCAGAAGGAGATGGCAGTGGTGATCTGCCTAAGACCACTACCTACCAGTGCACAGATCTTCTGCCTGATCTTTAGCTGAGGCAAAAGTGGAAGGTACTGAAGCCACAATTTCCTCCAAACTGGTGGGTTTTTTTACTACACATCCCCTTTCTGAGTCTGTTTGCTCAGGTTGTGACACTGAAGCTAAAGATCACAAATCACCAGGATCTGGACCAGGCCAGGAGCATAAGCACTGCATTAAGATGCACTGGGGTAGGGATCAGACACCTCTTCACCAGGTGATCTCATGACAAGTGCCAAAAGGAGGAGGCTATAATCAGATTCAGGTGCCCACCCCGGCCCTGTTGGAGCTGAGGCATGCACCAGTACTAGGGGTGCTCAGCATCACGTGTGCTGACGCCAACCTTCAGGGCTCGGATGAAGAGTTCTCTGAAGGTCTTCATGGTGCTAAATATGTCCTCTAAGGACAACTTGCTTGGGTCTTCACAGAGATAATTTGCAAGTTCTTCTCTCTTCCTTTCAATGGTTTCAAATTCTTCTTGCAGCTTTCTGGAGGCATCGATGCTATCCTGAAACACATTTAATATACACAGTAAAACACCATCCAGAGGACAATGAGTGAAGTGCACTTGAAGAAAAAAGGGTGTCAGTGTAAGAGCTTGGAGCAGGACTCAGGGCCCTGGCTGCAGCAGAGTTTCTGAAGTGGGAAGAAACTTAAGTTTTCTGGATGATCTCAGCTGCTGGTGATTGTGCTGTGTCAGTTTACAGGGGTGACTCCAGCAAGATGTGGAAAGCCCAGTGCAAAGCTCAATCCCAAGGGAATGGCTTTACTCTGGTGATCCACACAGAAGGTGAACATCTTTAAGTAAAGTGAGGATTCACACAACAGAGTGGAGAGGGATTGAGGCAGGGGCCTTAGGAAATGGCCCACCAAAGGTATCTGGGTGTGGGATGGAGCTGGCAAATAGACATTGACAGGTCTGGGTCGTGTGGTATCACAGCCTGGTTCCAACTCTGAGAGCGTGTCTTGTGGCAATATTTTCCACCCTCTCATGAGCCTCCTCAGCTGCATATACATTGTGCACTGCCTCTGTGTGTGTAGTGTGGGACACATAAGGGAGCTCCGTTACTGACCTGGATAGGTTTTTCATACTGCTGTTTCACATCGTCGTTTGATGATGTGACTTTTCGCTGAAGCTCCAGCAACTTCTTTAAGTTGGTACTGGACTCGGTGCGTATAATATCAAGATTAATTCTGAAATCACAGAGAAATCCCCCATTAGCTGACACTCCAGCATCTTGCGCTGACCAAAGAGTGGACAAGCCTGAGTTGGCAGTTTGGTTGTCCCTCTATTTCCCACTACTTCACTTTCACTGAAGCCTGAGCTCTGACCTCTCTGTACAGTTCGAGCTCATGGAAACAGGATCCCTCCACAGCACTTATGAAAAGACTCCAGGACTACCTACAACATTATGTTGAGCAGATAAATGCCAAAAGGAGTCCACCCATTCAAAGGGCTGTTCTCTACCCTCAGAGCTTGGCATTAGCTCACTTTCCCTGGTTGAAGGCACTTCAGAAATCCTTCTGGGTAGCTGGCCTTCACAAGCTCTTGCTACCACAAAGGCAGTGCAGATTTTGGAAGGGCCTGGGAGGCAGCATTAACTGAATGTGCTGCAAATTTGAGCCCTAAGTGTTGCCAGCTGTAGTAGAACTTTTATAGAGTAAAGAGGCTTCGACATTCATCAAGCAAATCTTTGGTTAAAACTAAATAAGATGCCGTCTTGTTAATGAGCTATACCAGCTGCATGTGCCCTAATTTCTGGTACATTGTTGATGTGTATGTGATAATTTTTTTTGGTTTTAATTCCAAGGAAGTGACACACAATTTTACCCTGCTGCTTTTGAAACATTTTCAAGATCCTTTGGCAGTTCCAGTAGGTCCGTGTGGCTGTTTTCTACTTCCTGAAACAGAAGAGAGAAAGAAATGTTATTTGCTGTGTGGCAGAAACTGAGAGAGGAAGCTGGGGTGAAGAGACATGGGCAGAAGTGCCTGAGAAGGATGTCTGCACCAAGTCCTGCTGCTGCTGCCCCTCTGCAGTTTGCTTTGCTTCACAGAGCCGAGCTGCACTCAGATCTGGGACATTCAACACTGAAATGGTTTGCTCAGAGAGGTGGTAGAAGCCCCATGCCTGGAAACATTCAAGATTAGGTTGGATGGGGCTCTGAGCAACCTGGTCTAGTTAAAAGATGTCTCTGCTCACTGCAGGGAGGTTGGACCTTTAAATGTCGCTTCCATCCCAGACCACTCTATGATCCTATAAAACAGGACAGCACATCCAGAGAGGAATGGCCTTGCTCCTGGGCTACGTACAAGAGGGCTGAATGTTGGAAAATACTCTAGTTCAAAGCAAAGCTGACCTGCCGCTGAGCTCTTCTTCCATCCTCTTCTTAAATACATACTCTTGACCATGGAAAGAGGTAGGACTGTGGTTTGGTGCAGCCTGACACTTCCCGTGGTCCAAGGAGGGTATCAAAAGGGCTTGAATCTTATTTGCATAGTTTAACTTAAAGGCTGAGCTTGCTGAAGCTACTGCCAGCTAAAGCCAGGCTTGAACATACCTAACTGGAATGGTGGGACCTTGATAAATGAAGGTGGCAGAGCAGAACATGGAGAAAAAAGGAAAAAACCAGCACTGCAGGGAATAATAAAGCCATGGGGGCTTAGAGAGGAGCATAAAAAGCTTGAGCATAGTCTAGTGGAAAAGGGAGAGACTGTGGAAAGGCAGAAGGGCTGAATGGGTACAGACCAGCCAGGATAGCTTTCGTAGCCAAGTGCTCTGTGGTTTACAGCTGATCATGTGCAGGTTGCACAAATATGTAAAAGGAAATTCCAGCCATTGTAGGGAATCATGCTGGAGGAAATCAGCTCCTTAAAATAAGGAGCTTCCTGAGTAGTGCCCACAAGCAGCCTATAGCAGCCCAAGTGATTCCAATGCTCCCAACCTGTGACACTCTGCAGCTGGCCAGGGAGGATATGAATACGAGTGTGTGGCATTAACTGAAAGTCAAGTAGGAGAAATGGTTCACCCGAGATAAAATTCTCCCCCTTCGCTATTGCCCAGGACTTGCTAGTGGTACCTCCAGAATATGGTGGAGCAGCGTAATGCGGGTTTGGTTTGCTTTGGTTTCTGTTAGCTTGAGTAAAGTGCTGATTTTAAACCCATCGGCATCACCCGTGTGACTTCCCTACAAGACGGAAAGGAAACAGATGTAACTCCTGTGTCCGCTCAAATTACAACCCTAAAGGAGATCATCCACATACTGTAATGGGGGGAGGGCAAGACAAAAGAAGTCCTTACATAGTTCAGAAAGTTTCCAACTTTAAGAATCAGTTGACAAAAGAGCGGCAGGCGATGACTGTTCAGAAGATCTGAAAAACACAAAGGACTTTTAAACAAAAGCCTCTGTTACACCAGAACATTTCCTAAACTGCATTGAAATTGGGATTCTGAGTTCCACAAAACTAAATCTGGTATTTCAGCTTTGTAGCCCAATGGCTCAGCCTGCAGAGAATCTGAGTCTACATAGATTCAATTCCATGAGCTTTAAAACATTTTGTTAACTTACGTTTCTTTACATCTGGTCCCTCATTCCTAATGGAAAATAACCCAGAGTTGGACCCTCCTCACTAACAGCCATCAATTCACTGTCTTCCTCGGAAGCACCCTGATGTACCCCGGTGTGGGCAAGCATAACTGGGCTGCAATTTTAATCTCGCTGTGCAGTGAAGTCAGCTCTGACAGCCCTGTGATGATCTGCCACCTGCTAAAACCAGACACGCTCACCCTGTTCTTGGTCTTGCATGGTGGAGGTGATCACTAGGGCATGAAGGGTACAGTCCCCGTCCTTGCTTTCACAATAGGGTGCTGCAGTGCTGTGCTTTCCAAAGCACTCAGCTTGGAGGCAGGAATAGCTCCGAAAGGACTAACGGGCTGTTGGGAAGATACTTTTGGGGGGAATCTTCAATTTATCCCAGCAGGTAGCTGTACTGCCAGCTAAAGAAACCCCTAGCAGGATTTGGGGGAACTAGCTCTGTAGGACAGGCGACACTTGACAGTGCCAAGAAGATCATCCTGCTCTCAGCAGAGTGGGACCTGAAGTTTCTGCCACAGGAAGCTAAAGCCTATTGCATCGTCTCTCCATGTAGTCAGAAAATTGGAGCATCAGCAATTTATAGCCTGAAATAACAGACTTTTTCTTCTGGTTCCATTTCTAGGCAGGGAAAAACTAAAGCATCACTACTTTCTGAGGGAAGTTTGGATTGTGCTTTTCTGGCAGCAGAGAAAATTACTATGTGAAGGTCTTAACATTGCAAATAATGCTGGATAAATTAGCTGTAATGAGGCCAACTCCACTGTCTAAATTCAGCTGCTTTGAAAGGGCTGATGAGCTTCCAACACTTCACCATTGAAAGTGTTTCAGAGAAATACATCTGCTGCAGAAAAAAGAGGGCTGAGGGAAGATGATGTCCCGTCATATTAAGGACTTTTTGACCATCAGTGGAGATACCTAAAGATGCATCCTGTATTCTGCAGTGAACCAGTGAATGGACTGCAGGTGAGTTTTTTTGGGGAGCTGTGTAGTACCATGCGGAGTTTTGAGGGTGTTAAAGCTTCCTGTCATAAATAAAATCCAGAAATAAGGTCAAGTCATTTACCTTCGCAGGCTCTCCGGATGGCTTCAGCTTTCGGCTGAATCATGTCCAGCACAACGGTGGTCTCTTCACAGATCAGCATACATTCAATGTGCAGCTGGTAGCTGAGGATGGAGAGTGATTCAAAGCTTAAAGGCTCTGTGATCTGGGCCAGGACAATGGTCCTCTTCTCACACCACTGCTACGTCTGGCAACCCCACAACATTGCTGTCAACCACATCCACATCAGACCAGTGTCTGAGGCTTGTGGAAGGAGGTGAGGAGCTGCCACTTGCCTCGAGGATCAGTGGGGATGTAGTTTCTGTTGACATATTGTGATCAGCAAAGAGAAGACTGACCACTATGTGACATGTGGGTACCCTCTTCTTAGTACTGCGTTTGACACTACCCTTCATTAAGTTACAGGGGCTCCTTTGGCTGGTCTAACCCTGGGTCTGGGCTAACTGCTGCTTCTTCAGAGGGAGAGGAGGTCCTGGAGCAGCAACAGCCCTTCATATATGGGTAACAGGGCAAGAGATGGCTCTACGGTGGAAACGGGAATCCACCAGCTATATTATATATATCAGTGTCTGTCTTTGAGGCTCCTATAAAGAGGATTTAAACTTTCCATAAGTAAACCAAGAAAAAAGATTGGGCTGAAGTTCATGAACAACATTCTTACCTGGGAATCTGAAGGAGAAGAAGATAAAACTGATCTGCATTTGCTAGCTTTGATTTCTCTTCTTTGAAGGCCTTCAGGTTTTCTATCTAACGAGAAATAAAAAATCAAGATTGCAAGACTGCACTGCCTGTGTGTTCAGCTCTGTGAAGTAAGGGTACTATTTTTCCTCCTGACCTCATGTTTTTCAGGCAGCAGCTTCAGCAACTGCTTCAGAACCTCAACGTCAAACTTGGTCCGGTCCCCATTCTGGACCATGGCAACCACCTCTTCGTTGGAGCTGCGGGGAGGAGAAGCAATCAGCTGTCACCCCTCTTACAGAATCACACACTACCAAGACATGTATCTGTGCAAGTGCTCCATGCTTTCCCTAGTAAGAGCCACAATGATCCAAAAGGAAAGACATGTCCCCATGGTTAACTTAGAATCAGGACCTGGATCCCTGTTACACCCTGAACTTTGTATCTGGCCTTGGTCAAATGACTGAAGGCCAGAGATCAGTCCTACAACTCAGATGTCTGTCTCTGGGCATTTGATTACCTTAAAATAAAATTTTATTCTTATCTTCTCCATTGGCTCTGCTTTGAAGTGGGATTTGACCTCCAGAGGTGTCTCACAGTCTAGGTCACCCTAAAAATCTGTGCCACAACTTTATCTGTAACATGGAGATGTAACACCTTTGCCAACATGTGGGGGTATTGTATGTAAAAACATAATTAAACTCTTGAACTCAGTATTTGAAAGACAGCATAGGAGAAACTCAGAAATGTTCAGTAACACAGACCACCAAAGTGCATTGGCTAGAATAGATTTCATGAGGACCTTCCAGATACTATGCAAAACCTGCTCAAAGTTTTGTCAACTAACTGTCACGAAAATTGGCCGTATCTTACCATTTAAATTGCTTCAAAAATATGTTCAAATTGAGACTTTTCTTGGAGTCCAAAAATGTGATCTTCACCAAAGAAAAAGAAGATATCTCATATTAGATGAGCTGTCTGCAGCAATCTTTATTTGAAAGAATAAGAGGGATCTCCTCACCTCCTTTGGTTCTGCTTTCACTGGTGCGGCCGTTTTCTCCTTGGGGGTTGGTTGTGGAAAGCAAAACAGCTGCTCTATGCTTGTATAATTGGGCTCTATTGTTTCTTCACTGCTGCTGCTCACCGAAGCCCACATTGAGTGACTTTCTGAAAAAAGACAAGGTGTTCAGACTGGCTACAGGGACAGCTTAAAGCTCCTGGCTTTTGGGGCAATGCGAGTTGCTTGAAGGGACACTTCTTGGAAGATGAATGAAATAAGAAGAGACATATTAGTCCTGGACAAGTTCTAATTATTGAGGATGGGCAAGTCCCACAGGCATGACCCAAAGGGCCTGAGGGGTAAATAAATCTGGTGCTAAAACCCAAGATGTGATGGCAAGGGGATGCAGCACTGGGCAGAGGCCGTACAGCCTCAATCTTCCCTAAATTCCCCTCCACGGTCGGCAAACTGGATCAGCATGAGAAGGATCTCAGCCATATTTTTCTAGTCCCATGGCTGATGTTGTGTATGCTTGCTTGCATGCCAGCTGAGGGTCTGGTCACAACCTGGACATTTTTTGACTATCCTCCATCCTTCATTTTATAATTGAACCTCCTTTTATAATGCTATAAGACTGCTTGAATTAATTCCTACTGCACTTTCTTCAGCATCTTTTTAAAAATATCACCCAAACATGACTGTAGAAGTTTCTACTAAAATAATCCCAACAATTAAGTGCTCCTGTGATTGAAAACACACCCCATTTAGACTTCACTGCAGCTTCCGTGCAGTGGATGCCTTGCTTTCCTAGGACAAAGCTCATGTTGCCTGTCCTGATTTCTTCTCACATTTCATGCTTCTCTTTGGATCCACTGGGAGAGGGAAATATAACCCAAAAATCGAGAGAAAAGTAAATGATTCTCATGGCTCTCCAATTCTTTCAATGCCCTTCTGAAACTGACCTTAATATACCCAGATACAAGTATAGATGAATTGGGGAACGAAAATCTGGGTAACCCAGGTCAGAGCCTATTGAGAACTCACACCCAGGCCATGTCATGATGAATTAGGTAAGTATTCCTATCCCTCCCCCTTCTTTTAATTTCAAAGTATTTTAGTTCTAAATAAGCTATTCCAAAATACTGATTTAGCTGGAATGTTTATTGTATTATATTAGTAGTTTCATACCACTTTTATTTATTTTAACTCTGCAGGTCGGATGTAATAAAAATCAAGGAAATTTTACACCTAAATGTAGTCACTCGCCTTTGACAAACCCAAAGATAGTATTTTCTCCCCTGGATCACCCCTAAAGCAGCAGTGACTTTATGACAGAAGCACCCACCTCTCACCACATTGGAGGGCAGCTTCTGCCAGTTTAGCTTCTTCATTCTCAATGTTGGTGTCTTCACCGTCTTGCGGGGAGGCCTGCCTGAGCCAAGAGGGCAGCC